TGGGCCGCGCTGGGCCGGGCCGGGCCGGGCCGGGCTGGGCTGGACTGGCTTTACTTTGTCGCCAGCGTCGCTGCCTGTGGCGCTGCCGTCTGTGCCGAAGGCTGAGGCCCTCGGCCGCGCGCCTCCTGGCTTCCAGCCTGGCCCGACCTCGTGTGTGTCCCGATGGCCAGCCCTTCATGGGGCCGCGGAGCCTTTCAGAGGACGGACACTGGAGAGACCTAGCGTAGGACCGGCCGCCCTGCAAGGCCGCCTCGCTCCGCCCCAGGCCGGGGCCGCAGAATAGCGCGGTGCTGCCCCGCGGCCTCCCCGGGCCGGGCCTCTGCGCCGCGGGGCCGAGTCGGGCGGACCGGGCCAGGCGGTCGGCAGCGCCGCCCTGCGCTGTCTGTGAGACCCGGAGATCTGGAGCTAGAATTTGCCTCTTTGGGGACCTGGGCCGGGGCTCTTAACCCCGTCAGCCCTCGCTCGCTTCCCATCCTCCCCCTCTGAAGACTCCTCCCTCCCTTTACTCTCACCGTTGCTCACCTTTATGGGCCTGGGAGGAAAGGTGTTAGAACTGACAGTGGAAGGACGCAGGGCAGCAGCTCCGCAGGGAGTCTTGTGGCTGCAGTCCTGCGCCACTGCAGGGATTCTGGTCTGGAGAGGGTAGCAGTGGCCTGTGGTGTCTTAGAATGTGCATGCTAGCACATCTGAACCCACGGTGAGCGTAACAGACCACGGTCAGAAGCACATTGGTTAGCAGTCTGCTGTGAGCGTTCTCCTGGCCAGTTGAGTGCTGCCGTGGGCCACGTGAGCCTGTGGGGCAAGAGATGATGGCGAACCAGGCCGGGCCTAGGCCAGGCGGTTCAGGGCCACAGTTCAGTCAGGATCTCCCTGCCCCTGTAGCTCCTCCCATGGTGTGTGGTGGTGGAGATTGGGGTGGGGGGCAGGGTAGTCGTGTGAAGTTGTGTGTGTAAAGGACCACAGTTAAAGTCAGAACTCTTGATGCCTTGCTTCACTTCCAGCGTTTGCTCTTGTTCATCTTTCTTTCTCTGTCCCAGGTCCCTTGGGGCAGCCCTTCCGCGGTGTCCAGGCTGGGCCGAGGGGCACTGCCCGTGTGAGCTGTCGATGGTGTGAAGACCCTGGAGCTGGAGATGGCCGCAGCCTTGGAACCAGAGGAGCAGGAGCTGTGGGAGGAAGAGGGGATTCTGATGGTGAAACTGGAAGATGACTTGGCTTGCTGGCCTGCGTCGCGGCGGGAGGAGCCTGTGCTGGAGACCTCCTACCAGAACTTCCGCTGCTTCCGCTACCAGGAAGCCGCCAGCCCCCGGGAAGCGCTCACCAGACTCAGGGAACTTTGTCGCCAGTGGCTGAGGCCCGAAAGGCGGACGAAAGAGCAGATCCTGGAGCTGCTTGTGCTGGAGCAGTTCCTCACGGTGCTGCCCGGAGACCTGCAGAGCTGGGTGCGGGGCCAGCGGCCAGAAAGCGGCGAGGAGGCAGTCACCCTCGTGGAGGGTTTGCAGAAACAACCCAGGAGCCCAAGGCGGTGGGTGAGGAGGGGGAGTCCTGACCTGTGTGGCGCGGCGGGCGCACGGGCCTCATGTCTTGCCTTCCGGTGTTGCGGGCTCTGCCCAGGGCTCTTCTTAATCCCGGAGCCCTGGGAAGGGCTGTGCGCGCGCGCCTGTCATCGCGACTTGCTGGGGTTTGGAACGCCTGCTTGGGGCTCACTGAGGGTCTTCCTTGGTCTTTGCATTTCTTTCTTTGGCTTCCTGGGAGGGGGGTTTTGTGACTTCCATCAAAGTTTATCCCAAACCCTCAGCCTCAGGACCTGCCATCGGGGAGGGAGGCGGGAAGCGGTGAAGGCTGGGGTGTGGTGGGAGGGGGGCCTCACGGTGTGCTGGGATGTGGGAGCAGGGGTGAGGAGAGCAGAGCAGTGGTGGTCCCTCTGCCCGTCCGGGTGGGGCGGCCTCGGCTCTCACGTGCACTCTCTGGGCAGCCAGAGCCCCGCCCCCACCCCAGCTTCTGCTTGAGCAGCTTCTGAAATGACCGGAAGTGTCCTTCTGACCGCGTGGTCACTGGAAGTTGGGCTCGTCCCCAGGTGACTGTCCATGTTCAGGGCCAGGAGGTCCTGTTGGAAGAGACGGTGCACCCAGCACAGAGCACCATCCAGAGTCCAGACCAGGGGGCAGCCGAGCAGCGGAGCCCATGCCATGAAGAGGGGCTGCCGCCCGCACAAGAGAGTGGTGGGCAGCCTGGGCGGGAGGGTGCTCCTGGGCGGGAGGGGCTGTTCTGTTCCCGAGGCTGGGAGGTGGGGGTGGGAAGAAATCTGGACACTGGCTGGGAGGCCCCGGCGGGCCGGCTCCACAGTGCGGGGCTGTTATTTGTGCTCATCACTCTGCTGGTTGTGTAGGTGGTGGCATTGGGGTATCTGGGTTCCCCTCAGAGGGAGTTGGGGCAGTGCTCGGCTTTGCACTGTGTCGCTGATCTCTGCCGCCTTTTCTTCTTAGAGGTGCCAGCGCCCCAGGAGCCGGGCCCTCCTGTGGAGAGGGGCCTGGGAGATCCCAGCATGGCCGCCCTCCTCGCCGCGCTCTCTCAGGTGCGTCCTCCCCCCTTCGTGCCTTGCCGAGTGGCCGCGGTGGGCTGCGCCGCTCCGTGTGAACTCTGTGTGCTTAGAGCCAGCGAAGCCGGGCAGCGCTCTGTCTTTACAGATGAACGTGTTAGCTGTTTGTAGGGAGGGCTGGCGGCACTGCCGAGACAGACTGAGTGACAGCCTTGAGCAGGGTTACACAGGGATGCCCAGAGAGGAAAACCTGAAGACGGGAAGGTAGAATTGCTTCAGGCATAGAGGGGCGTGAGTGACGGCTTGTAAACCACGAGGAAGCGCAGTCGGCCCTGGGGGAGGGCAGCCTTGTGCAGTAGCGGGCGCAGGGCCTGGGCGTCCCTGAAGGCGCTGGGTGGGGCAAGGGAGCCGCGTGGCTCCGCGGTGGAGAGCAGGAGGCTGCCTGACTTGTCAGTTCTGAGTGGGCCGCGTGTGTTGTTCCAGGGGCTGGCCACCTTCAAGGATGTGGCCGTGTACCTCTCCCAGGAGCAGTGGGGAGACCTGGAGCCCACACAGGAGTTCTACGGCGAGTACGTGCTGGAAGAGGACTGCGGCATCGTGGTCTCGCTGTGTAAGCAGCTCCCCGCGGTCCCTCTGTCTCTAGCCTGCCCTGAGCAGAGGTCTTCATTGGAAAGTTGGGGTTACTCCGGCATAGCCAAACAAAGGTCTTTAATGGAAATTTGGGGTCATGTGAGCAATTATAAGCACTGAACTTAAGATTTCTCATAGCAATGAGATCAAAGGAATAATTAGCTGAAGAGCCTGCTTCCAAGAAAACGATTGGGAAAGCAGGTGAAACCTCATGAGAGCTAGAGGCTACACTAGCGCCTGAGGATAGAGACCGTGACAGGAGAGATGGTCTAACCTGCTGTCCTCAGCGTGCTTTGATGATTGAAAGGCAAGAGATGCTCCTCAGCCTAGGCGCTTGGGCTGAAGAGACCAAAGATCTGACTGACGGACTGCACTGACCAGGGCCCTCCGGGCTCACTCAGGATTCCTCTCCCCTCTCTCGAGCAGCGTTTCCAATCCCCAGACTCCAGGACACTGCACTGGGAGAGGGGGAGCCGCAGATCCCAGATGACCAGGAGCTGGAGGAGCCGGAGATTCTGAGTTTCACCTACACAGGTGAGGAGTGGGGCGCTGCCCTGGGCCTCGCCCCCGTTATTTTTGTCTCTTGAGCTGTTTCGGGATTGTTGTGTTTTCTGTTTGAGTCGAGGTCTTACCATTTCGTGGTCCCCACACTGGGATTACAGGTCTGCACTGGGACGCCAGGCTCGTTGCTTCTAAGTCTCATTCCTGCCATTGTCCTCTTCACCCCCCCCCCCCCCCCGCCAGGCGGTGCAGAAAGAATCACGACTAGCCTAGAACCGGCTCCGCCCTTCACTGCTTAAACCTTTACGTGTGTCCCTGCTGTGTCCCTGCTGACGCTGGCGAGGCCGTGACAGGCACCTGCGGGACAGGCTGCGTGGGGCTGGGATGCTGTCTGCAGTCTCCTCCCCACCGGTACCCTTCGAGCGCCTCGTGTGGAAAGCGCTGCGCGACCTGTTGTAACACCTGCTTTTCTCTCACTCTTGTGTAGGAGACAGAAGCGGAGATGAGCACGAGTGTGCGGCACAAGAGGGCGGGAGCGCGGAGGACACGCGTGGGCCCGCCCGGGGAGACCAGGCGGCCGCCCGGACTCCAGACTGCCAAGGGGTAGTTGAGGACAGCAGGGATAGAATTCACAAATGGAGACTCGGGGGGAGAAATTCTCAAGTAAGTGGGGTCACAAGTCTTGAAGACACGCCCGCACCCCCCGTGTCGGAGCAGGGCTGTGGCTGTCCCGTGTGCGGGAAAAGCTTCAGGTGCAACTCCCACGTCGTCAGACACCTGAGAACTCACACGGGCGAGAGGCCCTACAAGTGTGTGGAGTGCGAGAAGAGCTACACGCGGAGCGCACACCTGGCCCGACACCAGAAGGTGCACAGACGCGCGCACAAGCGCCCGCCGCCGCGGAGGCCCGGGGAGGAGGCCGCGGGCCGCAAGGAGAGGCCCTACGCGTGCGGGGACTGCGGGAAGTGCTTCCGCTGGGCCTCGGACCTGGCCAGGCACCGGCGGACGCACACGGGGGAGAGGCCCTTCCACTGCACCACCTGCGGCAAGAGCTTCGGCCAGAAGTCCGTGCTGGTGTGCCACCAGGCCACCCACCGGGACAAGCCCTACGTCTGCTGCGAGTGCCGGGAGGAGTTCGGGGACCACCGGAGCTTCCTGGCCCACAGAGAGGTGCACGCGGTGGTCAGGGAGCTCAGCCTCAGCCAGCACAGCGACGCCGAGGAGCGGCGCTTCTCCTGCCCGGCCTGCGGGAAGGGCTTCAGCAGGAAGTACCACCTGACCCGCCACCGGAGGACCCACCAGGAGAAGACCTAGCCCCCACCCCTCTGCAAATGGACTCCAACCTGCTGCGGTTCTGCACCCCTCCCCACCAGCACCCCTCACCCCCCACCCCCGCCAAGCACACCCTGAACACAGGTGACAGGTGACGGTCCCCAGGGTCCAGTCAGATGGTCAGGTGGTGATAGCCACAGCGATAGTGATGTGTTGTCACGCCGAACGGGGCCGCGGCGCCTCAGCACCGGAGCCTCAGCACCGGGCCGGCGGCAGGACCTGCGGGGGGCGGGGGGGTGCCTGGCTGGCTGGGGACTGGCTGGCTGGGGCCTGGCTGGCTGGGGCCTGGCTGGCTGGCTGGCTGGCTGGCTGGCTGGCTGGCTGGGGCCTGGCTGGCTGGCTGGGTCGGCGGCGCCTGCAGCTTTCTTAAGCACACAGCCCTGAGCTCCGCACGGGCAATCACTTGGTGCCCCATCACCTCGCCACACGGCGCCGCCGTCCCTCTGGCCCCGCTCTTGTCGTGATGCTGGGAGCGGGGAGGGCTGAGGGGGGCTCGTCAGCAGCCTCTTTGATTGGCTGTCTTGTTCTAGCTGCTGTGGGCCAACACAGGCGAGCCTGCCGGCCTCCCCTCCTCTGGCCTCAGCCCGATGCGCCGCAGGGGTGAAGGGCTTTCCCGCGTCTGTGTGTGGCTGGCTTTTGCTTCGTGACTTGAGTTTTCTGTAGAACCAAGCAGTGCCTCGGGGCAGCCCACGCGCCCGCGGGCCGCCTCCGTGGAGGGCGCGGGTGCTCCTCAGGGCTGGCTCCTGTGCCGGGCTTCTTTTAACCTGTTACACAGTCTGGGTCACCATGCGTGCCACACGCGTCCGAGCAGTCCACTAAGGAAAGTCGGTCGTGGTGGGAGGCGCGGGCCGCGTTTGAACACCAGGCAGCCGCAGCCCTTGCAGAAATACATTTGAAATAAAGTAATCCTCACAGCCACGTGAGCTCGTTTTCTGGTGCTTTCCATTTTGTCCACTCACTTTACAGGCCTTTCTGTCTTGATGCGTGTGAAGCCCCTCCTCCTCACAAATAGATCTGGAGTCCAGAATGTTCCACCAGCAGAGTGACAGCTGGGAGTCCGTAATGCACGCTAAGCAGGGAAGCATCTGCTAAGCACGGTGCGCGCAGTCGGCCCCGAGATGTCCCAGCGCCAAAGGGAAGGGCCAGGGCCGGCCTGGTTGGTTGGAACACCAGTATCTCCACCCTCATTTCCCCGACAAGGTCTCAGATGCAGACACTAGATCTTGGTCCTCTCTGTGACCCGCTGGAGTTTCGCTTCCGGAAGGGTGTGTCATCTCCCGTGTCTGCAGCAGCGGGGCAGGGACCTGGCATAGCAGAGGAGCAGCAGTTGTGTTGAGCAACATCAGTGTTGATTTCCTTAGAAATCAGGTTCATCTCTGAGACCGTCCTTCTCAGTCTCCCAAGCGAGGAGGCTGCAGGAATATGCTCCTGTGCCCATGTCAGAATTAAAATTGACCAGGGCATTAGACCAGCATAGACTGGCAAAGAATCACTCAATCTCTGTGAGCAAGTACCACCAGAAATGCCAAGAGATGGAGTCAGCCTGTGTGTGTGTGTGCGTGTGTGTGTTTGTGTGTGTGTGCGCGTGTGTGTGTGTGTGCGCGTGTGCGTGTGTGCGCGCGTGTGTGTGTGCGCATGTGTTTGTGTGTGTGTGTGCACGTGTGTGTGTGTATCCCAAAGTAGACCTGGGTGCATCCACCTATTTGCTAAGCTCCGTGTACAGCTGCTGTGTACCCTGCATGGCATCAAGCCCACACAGGCCCCGGGCAGGCATCTGCAGCCGTGTGCAAACCCTGCCTCTGTCATGTGCAACCTGGGACACATGGCTTACTTCGCACTTCTAAGGCTTCTGTGGGTAAAATGAGGACCCTTGTGGATCACAAAGAAGCCAATCTTTGTACTGGGACCAAAGCCCCAGGCTCCTGGAGCCCTTGAGAAAATGAAGCAGGATCCCCGCTTTGTCAAACGTGTAGTTGAAGAACTCACCACTAGAGGGTCTGCAGACCCAGGTTCTGGGTGGCAATGGGGAGATGTCTGGCATCCCGTGTTTGGAAGCTTCCTGGCGCTGCGCCAAACTTGCACGAGGTGCATGTACAAAGATGTCCAGTGCGGGCAGCAGGGTCTGCCAGACCAGAGCCCTGGTCGCACCCGAGCTGGGAGGCTGCGCAGCGCAAGCGGGCGATTTGTGCCACGTTCTTCCCTCTCCCTTCCTCCGCTTTCCTGTCCGTGACCCGTCCCGCCCACCTCGGCCTCCTCCTCGCACGCCTCCCGCATGGGAGTGCCCGCACCGTGCGGGTTCTGCAGGGCGCTCAGGACGCTGGGCCACTCGGGTCATGCACGTCCCCCATGAGTGGAGCCCTCTCCCCTCCCCCCTCCCCCTCCTTCCTCACGTGTGATAAGCTCAGGGCTTACCATCCTCACAACTTTTTTGCTCTACCGCTTGAACCAGACCTTCACTTCCTTAAAACATTAAACCAGACTCAGTGCCTCCCACATGCTCAGGATGGCACACGCACACTCCGCTTTGTGGCCTTTTCTCGTGCCAATGCCGCTGTCTGCCCCTGCTCTCACCTATATATATATATACATACATATATGTACACACATATATATACAGATACACACGCACGCATTTATGTGTATGTGTTGCCTGTGTGCATACATAATCACATTTTCTTGATCCGCTCATCCATTGTAGGATGGTCTGGGCTGTTTCCATAACTTGGCTATGGTGAAAATGTTTTTTTCGTTTTTTTAAGGTAGTTTTATGGTTAAGGTGTTAAACAGAAGCATTGCTGTTTGACGATAAAAATTATGTAGAACCGTCTTGTGTGTGAAGCCCAGTGAAGTCTGGGGCTCCCCTGGCCTGCTCTGCAGGGGCTTGCACTCAGACATAGCTAAGGCCGGTCTTTGCTTTGAGCAGCAAGCTTCGGAGCACCCATCTTCCGATCCTGGCTGTTAGGTCCGGCACACAGCGAATGCTCAAGAGTAGGTATTGAACAGTGAACGAGTGAACGGATGGGAGGATGGATGGATGGACAGCTGCCTCCCGTCCGCCTTGCAAGCCCACAAGAGCCTCCCGGGCCTGGAATCCACCTCGGGATCCTCAGCACTGACCGCCTTGGCTGTAACGCTCAGCTTTTGAAGTGTAAATAATTGCTGAAGAAGTTAAAAGTCCCACCACTCAAAACGGTAAGTGTCAAAACATGAAAGTAAATATAGAAAACTTAATCTGGGCTGTAATTTAAAAGTCATGTATAAGAAAAACCTCAGGGGCTGGGAAGGTGGCTCAGTGGTAGAGTGCTTGCCTTGCATGCCTGAGGCCCTGGGTTCGATTCCTCAGCACCATATAAGCAAAAAGAAAAAAGCCGGAAGTGGCACTGTGGCTCAAGTGGTAGAGTGCTAGCCTTGAGCTGAAGAGCTGAGGGACAGCTAGAGTTCAGGCCCCACAACCAGACCAAAAAGAAAAAAACCTCAAAGTGAGTCCACTGCCTCCGACCCCCTCCCTCCCTCCGGACACCAGGTGGTGACATTTTGCCAGCATCTTCGGAGTCCCAGACATGAATTTCTTAAATGTCCAGGAGAAGAGTTAAGGTGGGCACTAAAAATTCGTAAACAAAGATCTTGAATATGCTGGGACAATAGATATATAGGTAATCTGAAAGTAAAATAAGGATGCTACAGAATAACATTTTAGAAGAGTAAAGGCTTCTCGGTTCACAGGAGAGAATCAAAAACAACCAGAGAAGTGGTCACCATTACGAACATCCAGACTCTGCAGATTCAGAATCCAACACAGCCCGGGGCCAGCGGCTCGTGCCTGCCGTCCAGCTGCGTGGTGGCCAAGGCCGGAAGGCCGGAGCTCATGCCCAGCCTGGCGTTAAAGCTCACCAGACTGCCTCTCGCCGGCTAGCTGGTGGGAGGCCCAGGTCAGGACCTGCAGGCATCCCCGATGGCCTTGTCCTCTCAGGCCTTCTCAAGAGTCCTCAGCCTCCAGCTCCAGCGTGGGGCGGGGAAGAAGGAGGAGGCAGACGCGCCAGCGGCTGGCCTTGTTCCGCCATCGCAAATCCAATGCCAACAACTGCAGGTCATGGAACTCGCCAGCCGTCAACACCCGCATGACACAGGCAGAAGAAATGCATGAGAAACCCACCGAATGTGAACCCAGAGGCCGTTTCAGGACTGGAGCTCAGACTGCGGGAGGAAAAGGGAAAAGCATGGTTTCAGCAAAGTCTAATTAAGGCATTAAAAAAATCCAATTTGGAATGGATTGGGAGGCTGCCTCAGCACCGGGAGATGCTCATCGGAGGCTCAGAGGCCAGGCCAGAGCGCTGGGCCGGACAGCCTCCCCTCCCCTCCCCTGCCCTCC